CACCCTCCAGGGGGTGGAGTAGGATAGGGCCCGTGTCTAAGACTAGAGGCCAGCTCCAGCCCTATGGGTCCCAGCTGGGGCACATTGGGCTGGTTCCCGGGTCTGGAGCGCCCACCGGGTACCGGGGGGCATCTGGGTCCCAGTTCCGTAAGCCAGAACGGAAAAGCTCTGGGACCAGCCCTGTGTAGGCCCTCTGGGGGGATCACGACACAGGCAGTGGACCCTGCCCCGAGTGGCCTACTCCCTACCTGAGGGGGAACTCCCGTGCATACCCATCCTTGACCTCCATGTCCTGGGTCCCCAGCATGAGGAAAGGCCATAGGCAATTTGGGGGACAGTTGTGCCCAGCCTAATGAGAACCGATCACTCCTCCCACCTGCCACCTGCCCAGGGCAGGACTGAACCGGGGGTCCCAGCCACCCCACCCCTGCGCAGGGTGGTAAGTGCCAGTGGCCTAAGGCAGCTTCAGAGCCAGCCCACCTGAGCCTCCACTCCAGCCCCACCACTCTCTGGCCCTATTGTTCTGGGCAACTCAGATGACAGCTTGAGCCTCAGTTTCATCAGCTTGAAAATGGAAAGAACAGTTCTCTCCCTGGGTGGTTCAAGAGAAGCAGCATGGTAAGACGCCTTGGTGAAGCAGAGAGGGTCAAACACCGTCCCTCGTAAATGGGACACCTCTGGGGCCGGACCACAGCGCCGGGGGGAGGGGCGGGGCCCCTTGAGGACCTGCCTGCTCTGGGGGAGGGGCAGAGGGAGCGCGGCAGTGGTCTGTGTCTGTCCCTTGCCCGGCAGCCCTGAGTCCTCCCCATGTCACTCCCCAGGTCACCCATTCTTGTTGGGGCCAGGAGGGACCCCCACCACCTGGCCTGCCTGCCTCCACCTGAGGCCCAGAAGCAGACCCCGCGGGAGGGCTGAGGGCTCCTGTTCACAGCCTGCTGCCATCCCCTCTTGCCCACCATCGCGGGGCAGTGGTGGACCCTCCGCCGGCCTGGAAGCCTGGACTCCCTTCTCCTCCCTCAGGCCCAGGATGGATTCCAAACCCCAGGCGGACCCCCGTGCCAGCTCCCAGCTCCCCACTGGGGCCCCGGCGCCTGCCCTGGACCTGTTCCCGACACTCCCCCCTTGCCCACTCGAGCCGTGCTCTGACCCGCAGACACCTCAAGACTCAGGGCCTTTGCAGCCCTAGTCCCTCTGCCTGGATGCTCTTCCCAGCTCGGCTGGGCTGCTTGCTGCTTGTCACTCAGATCTTTGTACCAGTGTCACCTCCTGAGCAAGAGCCTCCGTGACAGCCTGACCTGAAGCAGCCTCCAGGGGGGCTCCATCCTGCCCGGCGGGGCTGCCCCCGACCTCATGAGCCTCTGCGCACTGGTGGGTCCCAGACGGCCCTCCTGCGCACCTGCCCCTCTGACCACCTCTGGGCCGCCTCCCAGGACAACAGTCCCCCTCCAACGGCCCCTTGTTCCTGCCGCTTCCTGTATGTCCCAGCTCTGGGGACTGATGCAGCCCCCCTCCGTCTCCACAGGGTTGGGGGCAGGGGCACCGGGCCAGGCCCGGCTCTGGGCCAGACCCTCAGCCCGGAGGCTGAGCTCACACTTTGGGAGACAGCCACTGCCCCGATTCCCAGAGCAGAGTCCACTTATTGCTGCCGCCGCCCCCCCACCATCACTCCCAGGCTCCAGTCTCCACCAGACCCACCTCTGGGGCCCCAGCGCCCCTCACACAGGGTCCCGGCCTCCTACAGGGGTGGGCACGTCCTGCACCTCGGACAGCAGATGGCCAGAGCCTTGGGGTGGGTGAGGGAGCCCAAGGAGCCAGCGGGGGGCGGGGGGGGTGACCCTGTCCTCCTCTGGTCTTTCCACCTGCCCCTCCTCCTCTCCAGAGACTCTGGTTCTGAGACCCGGAGCAGAGCTGGGACAAAAGCTGCCGCTGTGGGCCTCAGAAATCTTCCTCCTCTCGCCAGGCCAGTTGCTCTGGGCTCTCTGCTCCCTCCCTGCCGCCTGGAAGCCTTGTTGGGACCTGCCAGAGGCAGAGGGAGGGGGACGCCAAGCCCAGATGCCCCAGCGGGCACAGGGGTGTGGCTCTGTCATCAATCGGGCATTCACGGCGTGGCACCTCCTCTCTCTGGAACAGTCCTGCAGGGTGGGGGGGTGCGGGGGGGCCCCAGGCAGAGTCAGACCCCACAGCCCCCACCCTGAGGGGAAGCAAGCAGCAGGCCACACAGAGACCAGCGAAGACACTGCAGCAGTTCAGGTGGGGGGGGGGACACTTCCCACAGAAGGCAGTAAGACGCGCCGCGGTGAGTGGCAGACTTGGGCACGGCCCACGACTGAACCGCTTCCAACGGTCATGTGCCATAGGAGAAAAGCCCGGAAGGAACTCTGTCACAGTGGCAGCTGTGATTAGGTTAAGCAGAAGGGTGGTGGCTGCTGCTTTTATCACTCGCAAAACTTTCTGCAATGGCACTATGGAGGGATGGGGAAAGGAAAAGAAAGGAGTCCTTCTTGAGTTTTGGACCTGCAGGCACTTGGCGCTCATTAACTCTCCGGATCCCATTTGTGGCTCAGAGAGATTAAGTCCCTCTTCCAGGGTCCCACAGCAGGGGCAGTTAGTTAGAAGGGGCATTAAGGGCGGGATCAGAGCCAGAATTCAGGCCCCTCTTGATCGGGGAGGGAGCAATGAGGACAAAACCCAGAAGGTGTGACGGGGCTCTCTCCAGGACACAAGAGGGTCGGGTCAGGCTGGTGACCTTCTCCCGGGGAGTCGCCACACAACCCCCACTGGACCCAGCTCAGCCCCCCTTCGTGCCCTTGCCCGTGCCCTTCCTCCACTGCCAGCAGGCCCTCCTCCTCTCCACACTCACATTCCCTCCATCCTGAAGGCTGAGCTCATTCCCGCTTCCTCTGGGAAGCCTCCCCTGATGGCCCACTCCTGGTGGTCGGCCTTCTGACCTCCCCTAGCCCTGGCAGCGAGTGCAGGCCTCCCGACCTGGGTGGCCACACGCCTCCTCACTGGGCTCCTCACCCCCACAACCCGTTCTCCACACAGCGAGCTGAGGGTCGTGAGTGTCCAACCATTCCTCTGCTAACACCCTCCAACAGCCCTGGTCACCCCGAAAACCAACCCGAATCCCTGCCCTTCACGATCTGCCTCCGCCACCCTCCCCAACCTCATTTCACACTCCTCTCCACCCAGACTTGTCTTCCTTCCTTCTCTCACAAACCAGGTCCATTCCTGCCTCAGGGCCTTTGCATCACTTGTTCTGTCCCCCCAGAATATCCTTTCCTCTGTGTTTTCGCTCTCTGGCCTCTTCCCATTGTTCAGTAACGTCATGAGTAAAGGAGGATTTGCCACATTGGAAAGGAAGTCTGGGCCTCCAATGGGACTGTTCTGGACAAGCCTGCCTGCAGAAGTCTGCCCAGGGGCCATACAACACAGCTTCCTTACCCTCCCAGCCTTATTGTCTGACTCTGCCAAGGCCCTGGTTCTGCCAACTGTCCATAACTTTGGCTCAGACTTTCCTTGACTCCACCCAGGGCCCCATTGCCTAATCTGGCCCCCGGCTATTTTTCTGTCTCTCCAAACTTCTCTACCAATCAGATGAGACGGACAGTGTCTTACCCTGCTGGCTGGAGGGTAATCAAAGCCAGGATTTGTGCCCAAAGACATTCATCACAGCGTCATTTATCAAAGTGGAAAAATAGGAAACAATCATCCCCAACTGCAGAGAAGGAGTTAAGAACACGTTTCCAATTCTTTTTTTTATCATATTCCTTTTGATTTAAACTCTCCGATGGCTTCCCGGTGTTATTACAACAGAAGCGAAATGCCCTGGACAGCCCCCCAAGCTGTCCCCACTGTCGCCCATCCTCTCTCACCAGCACACTTGTCACTGGCCACATGCCAGCTACACTCTCTTTCTTGCCCTCCCTAATATTTGCCATGTGCTCTTCTGCCACTGGGCCTTTGCATGAGCTGTTTCCTCTGCCTGGAACACCCTCCCTTCTTCAACTAATAGACTATCACCCTCTGGACCTCGGCTCACCTGTCCCCTCCTCAGGGCTGAACTCCCAGACCTGGTCAGGCCCCAGTTCTAGGATCTCATGACACTCCATGTCCCGCACCAGACCAGCAGCCCCGAGGGAGGGCTAGGCCCACTTCCGGTTTTGCTCAGAACGAGTGCTCTGGTGGTTAAAACTGTGTCAACAAAGCAGGCCTTTCATTTATAGTTGTTGGATGGACAGGATACCTTACAGCCATTAAAAATGACGAGGAAAAATCCACTTGATCATATTAGAAGGGGAAAAAACAGATTTTCAAGTTGTATATGCAGCATGATTGCAAGCAGGTAGGAAAAAAAAAGTAGAAGGATAGAAATCAAAATAACGGTTGCCTCTAAGGGTGAAGATGACAGGCAATGTTACCTCTGCAGCAAACTTCCTGAATATTCCACTGTGGGCTCCCTTACTCTCATCCTCAGAGGAGCACGTAGCTAACAGCTGTCCCCCACCCCCAGCCCGGGCACCCAGCCCCCACCTCCGCCCACCAGCAGGAGGACAAGGGGTCAGGGGTGGAAAGGCTAAAGGACATGGTTCTGGGTGGCAGACAAGAAGGCTGGCGGGAAGATGGAGCTGGCTCGCTAGGACAATCCCAGACCCTGGAAGGGAACACAAAGGGGGCGGGGAGGCCGGTGGAGGCTGGAGCTTGAATCCTGGCTGAGTGACCTTGGGCCCAGTGCCATGCCCACCCGGATCCCCACTTTCTCACCCCTAAGCGGAGCCCGCAGTACGACCTGCGTCCCCAGCAGGGGGAGCGTGAAAAAGAACGGCCCCCATAAAGCGTGCATCAGTGCTCGGCGCTAGTTAATCAGGAAAGGGATTACAGCCAGACAGAAGGAAGAACTGCCGTGTGCTGCTAGCCCCCGGGCTGGTCTCTGAGGGGCTCTTCTGGAAGAACCGCCCCCCGCACCCGGCCCTTCACCCACCACCTTCGGCCCCGCGCACCTTCCTTGGAGCTGGTGGCCGCCGCCGCAGACACGGAGGCCGACCCAGTGGACGTCCGGCCCACGGGGCTCGAGTGCTTCCCCCCACGGCCGGGGGGCTTCAGGCCGCTGGGCTTCTGCATGGTGGTGCCACTCGGTGTGTAGAGAAGGGTCCGTGCGGGTCACGTCCTGTCTGCCATCGCCCCTCACCTGCGGGCAGACGAGAGCGATCACCTCATCATGTCACCACGGGCCAGGGCCCCCCCAGTGGTGACACAGCAGGATTCCTGCACCCCCCTACCCAGTGGGGCGGGGGCCACCATCCCCCTCTTCCCTAGAGAGGGAAACCGAGGCACAGAGCAGTGGCAGCTAGCGTGGGCCCAGTGTGGCAATGGTGTGGCCTGGCCCGTGGCCTGGTCTGCTGGACTCCGCGGTCGGCCGTGCGGTCTCTGCCCGCCTCCTGGGCCCGGCAGGCGAGAATCAGGAGCAGGGAGGTTTGGGGGTCGGCAGGAGGAGCTGTCGCAGCCCCAGCAGCCCTCCACGGGGACCCCACAGGTTTGGCTGAGTGGGACTCCCCCCGAACACAGGCTGCTACGGATTCTGACACGCATGGGCAGCCTGGGGCAGACAAGACAGGCCCGCCGTCCCCGGGCCCTCTCCTCCACTGCCCTGTGCACACACCCTCTCTTGCGCCAGAAGTTCATGGAGGGCTCGCCAGGGGCCAGACCCGGTCCTGCCCTGGAGCTGCAGGCCTCTGTCTGGCGAGCACATTGTCCAGTGGGGAAAGGGAACACAGCCCCACCGGATGAGCAGAGGATTCTGGGCAAAAGCATCACCCCCGGGGTCCTCGGGAACAGGGGAAATCCGTGCTCTCCGGGTGCTCGGCTCTGAGGCCGCCTCTGCCAGTCCAGCCCTATCCTTACCCATCCGTGGTCACAGAACGCTATTCTCTTTCAGAGAACCCTTTCCTCCATTCTTGATCCGTAAGACTTATATGGGCTGTCCCCGCCACACACGAGGGGAGTCGGCACATGACCCAGGCCTGGCCAGAGCCCCCGTGGTTAGGTAAGGGAAAATCGTATGACGCAAGGAGCACCAGGGCCTGGACTCTGGCTGCTACCTTTAGGAAGGGTTATTTTCTTTCTCTGGGGCTGCCTGGGTGTGGGTTGGATGCCAGCGACTACAGGGCCATCCCAGTTATCGCATGGAGGAGCCTGCCAGGGAATGAGGCCAATGTGGAGAAAGCAGAGCTGAGCTGCTGGATTTGGATGGAGGGCCTGGATCCAGCTGAGCCTGAAGCTGGCCCCTTGAGCGCCTTACTTACACCAGTCAACAAATCCTCACACCCATGCATCGTTTTCTCTTTTTGCCTAAACCTATTTGAGGGGCACTGCCCTTGCAACCAAAAAGAGTTCTGACTGATAAAGAAGCCAATCCACAAGGCTCATGGCAGGAGTCTGCAAAGTGCCCTCCAAATGGCTGTCAGGTCAGCAAGTTGAGCCAGCGACACGATGACCTGTCTTAGCACAGCCACGGGATGAACTTCATGCAGGGCTGCCAGCCCTAAGAGCAGAGACAGATAATCCCCCGGGGCACATGAGTGACACCTACAGGCCCAAGTTAGCCAACAGGAATATGGTCCATGGCTGTCACCCTTGGCCTGGTCCTAGAGCCTTCCAAACCCAACATTCCAATCCTCCGATGGACAACTCTGACACCCCAGGAATTCTGGGGCCCGGGAGTCGCTCGATCAGCTGCTCCTTCGTTCCCCAGAACCTGGCCCTCCAGCAAGCTCATTCCCCAGGGAAGTGACTGTGGGTTGCAGACATTGCTCTCTAGTTAGGTTAGGACTTGCTGGCGTCCCCCCAAGCCCGAATGACTGACTGAGCCAGCAGGGGCATGCTCTCTGGTGACAGCGAATATCCCTCCCTGTGGGTGCCTAACTGGCTTCCTGCTCCAGCGGCTTAGCGGGGGGCCCTCTGACCTAGGAAATCCTAATGCAGGGCCCCACGTGTGAGGCAGAGGAAGGCCTCTTGCTGGGACTGGAACAAGATGCAAGGTGCCCCCTCCCCATGACCTTTGGGCCCCCTCTCTGCCTGAAACACCCCCCCCAGAGAAAAATATTACAAATCATACATTAAAAGACTTCTATTCAGAACACTTAAAGAACTCTAATCACCAGGCGCCTGGGTGGCTCAGTCAGTTAAGCGTCTGCCTTCGGCTCAGGTCACGATCTCAGGGTCCTGGCATCGAGTCCTGCATGGGGGCGGGGGGTGTCCCTGCTCAGTGGGGAGTCTGCTTCTCCCTCTGCCCCTCCTCCCATTTGTTCTCTCACTCTCTCTCTCAAATAAATAAAATCTTTAAAAAAAATAAGTTAAATGTGTATCTACCATATGACCCAACCGCCCAAGAAAAATAAAAACACCTATTCATACAAAAACCTGTAAAAAAATGTTCATAGCAACTTTAGTCATAATAGCCGAACAATGGAAAACAACCAAATACCCATCACCTGGTGAGTGATAGGCAGGGTATCTACACAACAGAACGCTCCTTGGCAATAATAAGTGAGTATGACATGTGTAAGGATATTGGCCACCCTCAACAATGTTACACTAACCTCAAGACACCAAACACACAAGACTACATACTGCATGATTCTTATTTATAGGGGATCTCAAAACTATAGACACAGAAAGCAAATCAGGGGTTGCCTGGGGGTGGAAGCTGGGACTGACCACAAATAGGCATGAGAGAACTTTCCAGAAGGCAGAAGTGTAATGGATTGTGATGTATACTAAATATCAAAGTAGTCACCAAGCCATATTTAAAATGGGTGAATTTGGGCGCCTGGGTGGCTCAGTCGGTTAAGCGACTGCCTTCGGCTCAGGTCATGATCCTGGAGTCCCGGGATCGAGTCCCGCATCGGGCTCCCTGCTCGGCGGGGAGTCTGCTTCTCCCTCTGACCCTCCTCCCTCTCATGCTCTCTGTCTTTCATTCTCTCTCGCAAATAAATAAAATCTTAAAAAAAAAAAAAAAGCATAAAATGGGTGAATTTTGGGACACCTGGGTGGCTCAGTCGTTAAGTGCCTGCCTTCAGCTCGGGTCATGATCCCAGGGTCCTGGGATCGAGCCCTGCATCGGGCTCCCTGCTCCGCGGGAAGCCTGCTTCTCCCTCTCCCGCTCCCCCTGCTTGTGTTCCCTCTCTGTCAAATAAATAAAATCTTAAAAAAAAAAAAAGGGTGAATTTTATGGTCTGTAAGCTAAATCTTAACTTCTAAAAATTATATAAAAAATAAAATCCTTGACGGCTCTCCAGAGAAGTTAGTGCGGCGGCCTTCAAAGCCCTCCTCATCTCTTACCTCCAGCACTATGGCCCTCCCTTGCCCACTTCACTCCAGCCAAGCCGGCCTCCGGCCACACCTGGATCACAGTAAGCACTCTCCAGCCTCAGGGCCTTTGCACATGCTATTCCCTCGGCCTCAAATAAAAAGCCATGGCTTTTCATGTAGGCAGTCTGACCTTCCCGCTAGCCAGCATGTCCTATGAGGCAGGGACCAGGCATTATAACAGCATCCCTGGCATCGGAGTCCCAAACCAGCACTGCCACGGATGACCCTGCATTCCCTCCCTACTCACCTGACAACTCCCCACCTCCCAGACCCCACTTGTGCCTTTTCTCCCACCTGCTTCATTGTTCCAACCACCTATGCAATACCCAGCCCAACGCTTCCTCCTCCGCGAAGTCTCCCTGAACCTCTGGCCCACGGAGACCTCAGGATGGCATGCTGAGCCGAGGAGAGATGATACTGTTCTCCTTTATCTTCATCTTGCCTCCCAGGAGCCCGCGGGCAACCCCAGGCAGGGCCCCAGCTTCTCTGAGAACCCGGCCCCTGCACAGCGCCTGGCCCAGAGCCCGTGATCCGGAAACCCCATGCGAGGGCACACCTGTGACTGCCCAGAGGACAAAGGCCTCCGAAGCCACAAATCTCCAGGACGCTCCTCCCAGGGGAGGCTTCCGGAGGCTCCCAGCGTTGCCCCCCTCCCTCCCGGACCCTGAAGATCCCAGCAGCCTCTAGTATGAAGAAACGGGTATGCCAGGCCTTGCAGGAATGGAGCCTCGCTCGTCTTCCCAAGCCCCGATGAGCCAGAAGCCGACTCACAGGAAGAGCTTGGGAAGCTCAGAGAAGTTCAGAACTCACCCAACGTCACACGCTGCTCAGAGACTGTGCTGGACCCAGCCCCGGGCTGGGTAGCCTGGGCCTGGACTAACATTTGTGAGACCCCTGGCCTCTGGGGAGAGCGCCCGCAAGCCTCGCTGACAAAGGAGACCAGAGGAGCCGGCTGCACTCACTCATCCCCTCGGCCCACCACCACTGCCAGGGCGCAGGGAGGGCCAGGCAGGAGAGGCCAGTGGCCGCCCCCACCCCCAGGGTCTCCGGAGCTGGGGGAGCCGAGCGAAGGGGAGAGGGGAGGAGAGAAGAAATGGTGAACAGGAAGAGGGGGAGGAGACCTGGGGCCAATCACCCCTTTGTGACTCAGCCCTGCTCGGATAGAGGAAGGAAGGGCTTTCTTGGGAAAAGCCTGGACGTGGTGATAAATTGGCCCCTGGCCACGCTCTGGGGGGCGGGGCAGGCCTGGGAGACAGGGAGGGAGCAGACTGCAGGCAATGTGGGTCCAGACCCCGAGCCACCACGAGTGGCTGTGGGTCCGTGGCCCGGTGGATGCCTGTTGCACCACCGGTAAGAGGGGGTGAAAGTATGGCTGTCCCGTGGGGAGCGTGGATGGGCGAGTCAGGACACATACCCCACGGGCGGCCCTCCGTGCCTGGCCCACGGAAGCCCCCTGGGGAAGGGCAATTGCCACGCCGATGGGTCTCTATTATGATCTCGAAAGGCCCAGGGTGCACACGCTGCCTCCCCCAGGGACTCGGCGCCCAGGCGAGGCGGGCAGGGGAGGGGCGGGGGAGGGCAGGCAGCATTCAGACCAACAGGCCCCCTTTGTGCTGCCCTCAATTGCCATTTACCCCAAAGACAAACCCGGGCTGCATTTCAGGGTTTCCATTTCAGCTGCCCGGGGGTGGCGGGCCGCAGGCTCAGCGGGGAATGAGGCCCAAGAAGTCTCTGCCAATCGGAGGCCCAGGGTGTGGCCCTGACGGAATTGGGGGAAGGTGCCAAATAGGACAGTGGAAAGCCCATGTCCAGGGTGCTGCCATAGCCCAGGGGGTGCGGGAGGCGGGCACCAGGAGTCACTTTGGCAAGACACTGTTGCTGGCTGAAGCCCAGCCTTCAAGCCCAGGCTTGCCACCCCCAACATCAGGGACCCCCCTGGGTTATTCTTCCTACCCCTGCCTCCAGGGTCAGCAGCCAGGGTGCCCATGCTCCCCCCTCCTCTCCCAGCCCTGTGGTCCGAGTGCCGGACAGCAGAGCCCAGAGATGAACTCTGTGTGGTCCCTGAGCCCTCACCACCAGCCCTAAGGCTCAGGCCACGGCGGCACCGTGGGGGCGGGGGGGGGGCAGTGCTCCGTAATAGGGAGCATGGGGTGCTGGGGGCCAGGCAGGGGAACTTCCAGGCAGAGGCCAGATTCTGCCAGGTCAACCAAAGAGTTGAGGATTTAGTGGCTAAAACGTGTGTGTGTCGGGGGGGTTCATCCAGAGATGGGGAAGAACAGCAGGGTGGGCGTGGGGGGGTCTCCCAGTCCCACACACAGGCCATCAGCCTGAGTGGATGTGGGGCTACAGAGGGTGTCAAGCAAGGGGTGTGCCTATTGGCAAAATCACCCAGCTGATGAGGGCGCTGGGGCGAATGAGGGCAGGGAGGCCACAGTCCCGGGGGGCCGCTGTGACAGACAAGGGACGCGACAATGCGGCCTGAACCACCAGAGGGGGGGGCTGGAGGGGACAGAGAGCAGAGACGTGCTGAGCGGCATTTGGTGGCCAACGGTGTGGGTATGGAGGGAGCACCCAGGGTCCCAGAAGGAGGGGGCATCTCTCCACACGGAGAGGGACCTCGGAGAAGGTGGGGGCTGGAGCGGGGAGCCCGGTTTGGGACATGCCAGGTGTGAGTCCCCCGAGAGACACTTGGGGGGGGACAGGAGGCCGAGTGATGGGGTCCTCGGGAGAAGCACAGGCTGGGAGGACCCCCCAGTATGTGACATGAAGAAGGAAGATTTGAGGGCATCCCGGATAGACAGGGAAGAACCACAGACACGTAAGAACGAGACCGGTAAGAACAGGCAGCTTTCGAGGAGAGGGCCCCACCGGACAGCCGCTGGGCCGCCCAGTCAGCAGGGAAATGCAAATCCAAGCCACAAGGAGATCCCGTTTCCCACCCACTCAGATGGGCAAAAAGTCAAAAAGCCAGGTGACACCAGGAGCTGGCAAGGCTGGGCAGCAGGGGCTGGTGGCCACGGAGCCTGAGCCTGGACCACGTAGCCCGGGAGGCACCAGCAGGGTGCTGAACAGTCCACGCAACATCCGGGGATGTGGGTTCAAGGTAGGAACAGGGCTGGGGTAACTGGGGGCTCTGTTTCTATTTCTAAGATTTGTTTCTTCAGTCCTGAAGGATGTACGTGGGTGTTGATCGTATTCTGTCTATTCCTTTTTTTGAGTGTCTAAAACATTCATAATCATTTAAAAAAATGTAGAACTCTACCTCTGAAACTAATCTGTGTTAATTAATTAAATTTAAATAAAGTAATTTATTTTTTTTTTAAGATTTTATTTCTCTATTTGACAGAGAGAGACACAGCGAGAGAGGGAACACAAGCAGGTGGTGGGGAGAGGGAGAAGCAGGCTTCCTGCTGAGCAGGGAGCCCGATGCGGGGCTTGATCCCAGGACCCTGGGACCATGACCTGAGCCGAAGGCAGACGCTTAACCATCTGAGCCACCCAGGCACCCTAAACTAAAATTTCTTTTTTTTTTAAGTTTTTATTTTTTTATTTTTTAAAGATTTTATTTATTTATTCATGAGAGAGAGAGAGAGAGAGAGGCAGAGGGAGAAGCAGGCTCCCAAGGAGCAGGGAGCCCGATGCGGGACTCGATCCCAGGACTCCGGGATCATGACCTGAGCCGAAGGCAGACGCTTAACCATCTGAGCCACCCAGGCGCCCTAAACTAAAATTTCTAAAAGACGTAAAGGCAGACATAGGAGGGGGGGGAGCAAAGAGTGGCTTCCCTCCCTGTACACACCCACCCAGAGGAATGGGAGGGCAGGCCCCAAACAGAGTAGACCCCCCACAGGTGCTGACTGCCAGGCCAAGGCTCCCCCTGATGTCTGTGTGGTGTGGGCTCCCCCAGCCCTGCCCCACCAGGCACCCCAACAGTCCCACCTGCACCAGAAACCCAGCGCCCCCCCACCCCCTGAATCTAGCGGGCGGGTGTGTCCACTGTCCCCATGGGCCTACTCCCAGCTGCCACTCCCTGTTTGTCCCATCCTGCTCGGAAGGGAGGCTCATTTTGTCTGCATCTGACTGAGGTCAGGGACTTCCGCCTGGTGGTGAAGCTAGAGTCCCCACGTGGGGGCACAGAGCAGGGCGGGGCTGAGACAGGCCCCCTCCCTGCGAGTCCTGCCAGCTTGAGGGGAGAGCCAAAGCCGGGGGCCTCACAGGACGGCTGGGGAGACGGCGCCAGCCTGCCTGTGCTCCCGTCCCCACACCCAGCCTTCGCTCTCACCCGGCCAGCGAGGCCCCACAGAGCCAGCCCAGGCTGTGCAATCCTACCACTCACAGGGCTGTGGGCCAATGGCTGGCAGGAGACCGTGGCCCCAAGAAGGACAGGGAGGTAACGGGCCTTGCCAGGGAGTACCAAGGGCCCTGGCGGCCATCCAGAACCAGCCTGGGGAAGGGACGGGCCCAAGCCTCACAGCAGAGCTGGGATCGGAACCCAAGCTGGAACCCAGGCTCCACCAGCCGACGTGGCTTGAAGGAAAGGCAGGCTGAGGCAGGGAAGATGGCATGCCGGGCTGGCAGCATGGACATGGAGGGTGGGGCACGCAGGGGCTGAGTAGAGGACAACCCGGGGGCCCCAGTGGACCCCAGCTTCTCTGGCACCTGAGGCTGGGGGCAAGCGGGGCCAAGTCCAGAAGACTGGGGTCCAGTCCAACGTGCTCACCATCCTCACAGCCTCTAGGCTCAGGGCTGGAGACCCCAATTTGTAAAGTCAGCATTTTCCCCACCCTACCCACAGCCGGGGGTGACAGCAGAGCCCCAGGAAAGACTGGGCTGTCTGTCTTACCTGAGCTGGACACCCTGGAGTGGGGCCATCTTTTCTCAGGCCGGGAGGTAGCTCAGATCCTGTCTCTCAGCACAGCAAAGGGGATCAGGGCTGTGTCGGGTCTGGGGGAGGGGAAGGAAAGTCAAGGTCAGTATACTTCCTTGCCTTACACACACACACACACACACACACAGAATTGACACACTCACAACCAGGCTCCAGAGCCCGCTCCAGGCTGCGTGGCCACCCACACCCCCAGAGACTGGACAGCTGGGGCCCTCCTGCCACGGGCCCAGGATGCGGGCAGGCACTGGCTGACTCAAGTTGTCGTCCAATCCATCTTTATTCCCATTTCACAGAATGGGAAACTGGGGCCCAGGCTGCCGGTCACAGAGCAAGGGACCAGGACAGTGAGATTCAAGTGACAGAAACGTGCTGGGCAAGGGGGTCCCTGCAACCAGATGAAGTCAGAGGCTGAGGGAGGGAATGGGCCTGCTGAGGTCACCTGCTGATCCAGGCAGAAGAGGAAGGAAAGGGCTCCCGTGTCCTGTCTCCCAGGCCAGGACACTGAGCTACTCTCCTTTTACTATTGTAGCGCCGTCCCACACATCCAGGTCAGGGAGCTGCGGGAAAGCACCCCATCACCTGGGGTCCCCTCCCCAACCCAGCCAGCCAGGCTCCTCTCTAGGGCCAGGATTTGCAGAAGAAACTAAAAAATACTCCTGAGCGCCGGTTAAGCATCTGCCTTTGGCTCAAGGCATGATCCCTGAGGGGTCCTGGGATCGAGCCCCGCATCAGGCTCCCTGCTTGGCGGGGAGTCTGCTTTTCCCTCTCCCTCTGCCCCTTTCCCCCACTTGCGTGCACACTCGCACACTCTCCCTCTCTCTCTCTCAAATAAATAAATAAAATCTTAAAAAAAAATACCCCCGAGCAAAGGATGGTCTTTACAATAAGTGATGCTGGGTCAACTGGACAACCACATGGGGAAAAAAAAATCACGATCCCACCTATAGTGGGTAGAAATGATGACTTTCCTTCCCCTCCCCAGACCCGACACAGCCACGATGTTCATGTCTCCATCCCCGGAAACTATTAACATGTTAGCTTCCACGTGGCAAAGGGGAGTAAGGTTGTAGATGGAATCAAGGATGCTAGTCAGCTGACCTTCAGATGGGAAGATTATTCTGGATTATCCAGACAGGCCCAAAGGGATCACAAGTGTCCTTCGAAGTGCAAGAGGGAGGCAGGAGGGACAGAATCAGGGAGATGACAGCGTGCCAACAACTCGGTGCAACATGGCTGGTTTTGAAGACAGAGGAGGGGGCCACCAGCCAAAGAATGTTGGCAGCCTCGAGAAGCTGGAAAAGGTCAAGAAACAGACCCTTCCCCGAGCTTCTAGAAGGAACAAGGCCCTGCCAGCATCCTGATCTTAGCCTGGAGTGATCCATTTCAGACTCCAGGCCTCCAGGATGGTAAGATGATAATACATTTTTGTTTGGAGGCCAGTACATTTGGGGCTACTTGTCAGAGTAGCAAAAGGAAAGGAATACGTTGACTTCACCTCGTACACAAAAATCAATTCCAGATGGACAGCAGATCTAACTGTGGAAGGCAAACCAATGCAGCTTTTAGCAGAACACATGAGAAAAAAATCTTGATGACACTAGGGTAGGCCAAAATTTCTTAAGCAGGACACAGAAGTGCTGGAAAGCAGGGAAAGGATGGATAAATTGGACAAGATTAAGAGCTTCTGGGGCGCCTGGGTGGCTCAGTTGGTTAAGCGACTGCCTTCGGCTCAGGTCATGATCCTGGAGTCCCGGGATCGAGTCCCGCATCGGGCTCCCTGCTCAGCGGGGGGTCTGCTTCTCCCTCTGACCGTATCCCCTCTCATGAGCTCTCTCTCTCTCTCATTCTCGCTCTCTCAAATAAATAAATAAAATCTTTAAAAAAAAAAAAGATTAAGAGCTTCTGTGCATCAAATGACAGCATGGAGAGATAGAGTGCATGTCAAGAGTTAGCCATAGAACGGGAAGAAGACATTTGCAATTCCTACTCCCACGAAGGATTCCTGTTCAGAATATAGAGAGAAGCCCAACAAATAAAGTTAGAAAGATCAGCAAAACACCTGACCGAGCACTACACAAAAAGAGGGCATTCCAAAGACCAGCAAACAGGGGCGCCTGGGTGGCTCAGTTGTTGGGTAACTGCCTTTGGCTCAGGTCATGATCTCAGGGTCCTGGGATCAAGTCCCGCATTGGGATCTCTGCTCCACGGGGAGTCTGCTTCTCCCGCTCCTTGCCACTCTCCCCAACTCATGCTCGCTCTCTCTCCCTCTCTCTCAAATGAATAAAAAAAATTTAAAAATAAATAAATAAGGGGCATCTGGGTGGCTCAGTCGTTAAGCATCTGCCCCCCGCTCAGGTCATAATCCCAGGGGCCTGGGATCGAGCCCCGCATCGGGCTCCCTGCTCAGTGGGAAGCCTGCTTCTCCCTCTCCCAGTCCCCCTGTTTGTGCTCCCTCTCTCGCTGTGTCTCTCTCTGTCAAATAAATAAATAAAGCCTTTAAAAAATAAATAAATAAAATGAAGTTCTAACAAACAGACTCACGAATGCAGAGAATCAGACTGGTGGATACCAGAGGGGAAGAGGGTGGGAGGATGGGTGAAACAGGTAAAGGGAAGGTAGTCAGTGATATCATCAGAAGTTCATGTGGTGACAGATGGGACAGTGAGGAGCACCGAACAATGTAGAGACTTGTCCAGTCACTATGTCATATGCCCCAAACTAATAATATTGTGTATCAACTACACCACAATTAAAAATGAAAATACAAGGGCACCTGGGTGGCTCAGTCAGTTAAGCGTCTGACTCTAGACTTCGTCTCAGGACACGATCTCAGGGTTGTAAGATCGAACCCTGAATTGGGCTCCATGTTGGGTGTGGAGCCTGCTTAAGATTCTCTCTCCCTCTCCCTCGACCCCTCCCCACCACACTCACACTCTCTCTCTAAAAAATATATATATATATACACACATATATATGTATACACACATATATATATATACACACACACACGGGGTGCCTGGGTGGCTCAGTCGGTTAAGTGTCCGACTCCTTTTTTTTTTAAAGATTTTATTTATTTATTTGACAGAGAGAGACACAGCGAGAGAGGGAACACAAGCAGGGGGAGTGGGAGAGGGAGAGGGAGAAGCAGGCCTCCCGCCGAGCAGGGAGCCCGATGCGGGGCTCGATCCCAGGACCCTGGGACCATGACTTGAGCCGAAGGCAGACGCTTAACAACTGAGCCACCCAGGTGCCCCAAGCCTCCTACTCCTGATCTCAGCTCAGATCTTGATCTCAGGGTCATGAGTTCAAGCCCCACGGTGAGCATGGAGCCTGCTTAAATATAAACAAATAAATAACATAAATATAAATAAGCAAACAAATAAATAAAAATGAAGTTGCCAGACCACCTTTATTGATAGCACCAGAAATCAGGGAAGGGGTCCCCCTTGGGTCAGGGGTACTGACTGGAAGGACAAGCAAGAGGGGCACTGGGGAGCCAGCAGGATCTCAGACCTGATCTGGGTTCTGTTACACAGGCGTTTCGGTTGGAGAAAAGTCAACAAGCAAGTACACGTGTGGCATGCACACTTTCCTGCATGGATGTTATATTTCCATAAAAAGGTTGTAAAAAAAATATATATATATATATATATGTTGTTGCTTTTTTTTTTAATTACCTGGGCTGGGGGTGGGCAGCAGCAAAAGTGGAAGAAGCAGGGGTGGTCCCTGCCTCTCTGGGGCCTTTCCACCCATCAGAGAGCCCCAGGCGGTGGTGCTGAACCATGGGGACCCACTGCAGCACCTGTCTCCCCCCGCGTCCTGCAAGCTCCCTGCGGGCAGGTCCAAACCCATTGGAGTTCAAGCACCCAGGGCCTGACACGCAGCAGTGCTGTCCTCGCTGGACAACATTCCAGCACGCCAACCTTATTCCCTAAACGAGGCACGCAAGTCAGCACCCCAGCATCCTCTCCTGAGCCTTCCCCTGCAGGCGAGGGGCAGGGAGGAGGCTGAGCCCACTGAGACCTGGACCTGTCCCCTCACTGACATTGCAGGACAGAAGGCAAACTGGGCCCATGTGGGAGCCTGGAGAAGGAATGAACCAGCCAGGGGGCCAACGGGCACCATCTATGCCCATGAAGGGCAACCCAGGGCTGCTGGAGGCGGGGCTGGGGAGGGATGGGTGGAGGAGGGGCAGAACCTGGTGGCCCCAGGGGTGAGGTCAGTCCCTAGCAAGCCCTCACAATCAGTGTTTTCTTTTAGTGCTTCCAGAAAGGCAATCGCCACCCCCAGCCACCAAATGCTGCCTGAATGCCACAGACGCCCACTCACACCCATACACATTCTGTCACATCCCCGGGCCCTCGCACACGCTGTTCCCTCTGCCTAGAATGCCCTTCCTCGCCTCAGCTGGCAAACTCCCTCACCTCTCACTGAAAGCAGCTTTAAGAGGGCAGGCTCTCTGCCTCTCTTGTTCATTGCGGGGTTCTCGGTACCTAGGACAGCGCCCAGCACACACAGCGGCTCAGAACGCTGTCCGAACACAGGCAGGAATGAAAGGATCATTGAGTGAATGGAAATGCCCTCCTCTGCCACCTTCGTCCTGCCCATGTCTAGTTGGGGGCCCACGACAGCTTGGAGCCGTCTCTGGGAAGGGCCGAACGTTCCAAAACAACGAGCATCCGGCACAGAGTGGATGCTAACCCCATGTGGGTCTGGTGAACAAAGAGGCTGGCAGTGAGCCCCCCATCACTGGAGGGGATCAAGCAGAGCCAGGCCTGTTCTCAGAGCACGTTTCTGCTCCAGTTGGCACAGCTGCCCTGAGAGGCTCTCCCGAACTCACACAGCTACTGTTACCGCCAGTAACAACATTAACCATTAATGGTGTTGAGCACCCCCGTGCCCCCAGGGCTGGCCCACTGCAGGGGGAAGGGTGACCCCATGCAGCACCACCCCCCATCACAGAGAGAGCTTGCTTCTTCACTGTGCTGGACTCAGAACCTGTGAGGGTGCACTGGGTGTGGGGGGCTCAGGTGGGATGAGCCCCCATCTTCCGCTG